GCCCCGAGGCCGCGGCGCCCCGCCGGGGAGCGCCCCACTCCCGCCCCCGGATCCTCGGGGTTCCCCCGCAAGCTCTCCACACCTGGCTGACCTCCCCTTTCCCCCAGAAAAGCCTGGCCACCGCCGAGCGAAGCCAACGTCGGTAACGGAACGCCGCCGCCGCTCCCTCCACCCCGCCGGCTCCGCCTCCTTCCCCCTCGGCCGGCTTCCCGACGCCACGCGAGATCCCGCGAGAACGGAGGCCAGGGCCGCGAGAGCACAGCCCAGCGGCGCGCACTCGGAGGGCAGAGAGGAGGAGCCGGAGCCGCGGCCCCGGACGAGGGAACGTGTGCGTCGCCGGCTGCCTCCGGGTATATATAACGGAGAGCCCTAGACCCCGCCCCCGGAGCTGCATCACCCAATCAGAGGCTACTTGGACACGCCCCCCCACACGCACACGTGGTCTGAGCGCCTCGTGTTCCTGCTCGGAGGCTTCTGAGCGGGCTGCTGCCGCGCTTTCTCAAGTATCGCGAGATGTGTGTGTCCAAGGCTGTGAACGAGCTGCTTTGAAACCTGCAGGAGCACATGGCCGGCTGCTTCACTGGTTGTCGTGGTGAGCGGTGCAGTTCACCCTTGTTTCTGGATGCTGTCGCGCCTTTCCAGTCTGGGTTCTGGTGGCTCATTGCTTTGTCGTTTTAAAAGTGTGGTGAAGTCATTTCCTCTCTTTTATTTTTCCCTTTTCACGTTTGGATGGTTTTCCCCTGCTCGAAAATGTCTACCTACCTGTCTTTTTTTTTTGGGGGGGGGGGGTCCAGTTGTGGGGCCTGAACTCTGGGCCTGGGCGCTGTCCCTCAGCTCTTCAGCTCAAGGCTAGCGCTCTACCACTTGAGCCACAGCGCCACTTCTGGCTTTTTTCTTTTTGCTTATGTGGTGCTGAGGAATCGAACCCAGGGCCTCAGGCAAGCAAGGCAAGCGCTCTACCACTGAGCTACCTTCCCAGCCCCGACCTGCCTGTCTTGAAGCTCCTGATCCCATCTGGGAATTTTTAAGTTTCATAACATCTATGTTTTAAGTGTGTCATCTTAGAATTGACTTGGTGTGCGTGTTTGGAGTTTTGGGGGTTCACAATCTCCTTTGGGAGCATGTGGAAGATGATCTTTCATCCACTTTGGCATAGTGAGTTTGTGTGTGGAGGGGGGCTACTTTACAAATTCTTAATCATTTCTTCGTATTAGTGACACATCTTTTAAGTTACTATTTTTTTTTTTTTTTGGTCAGTCATGGGGCTTGAACTCAGGGCCTAGGCACCATCCCCTGAGCCTCTTTGTGCTCAAGACTAGCACTCTACCACTTGAGCCACAGTGCCATCTCTGGCTTTTTCTGAGTAGTTTATCAGAGATAAGAGCCTCGTGGGCTTTCCTGCCAATGTTGATTTTAAAACATGATCCTAGCTATGATTACAGGCATGAACCACCAGGCCAATAAAAAAATTATTTTAACTGTAAAAAAACCATGCACTAAAAAGCTTACAGTTTTAACCATTTAAAGGAGTAATTAAGGCACCTAGACCCCATCATAACACACAAGCTGGACATGGCAGTCATGCCGATCATCCCAGATACGCAGGCCTATGATGTAATAGACTGTAGTCTAAGGCCAGCCCCAGTCAAACATGGGACACCCTATTTGAAAAATGACTCAAGCTGGGTGCTAATGGCTCACGCCTGTCATCCTAGCTACTCAGGAGGCTGAGGTCTGAGGATCATAGATCAAAGTCAGCTTGGGCAAGAAAGTCCATGAAGACTCTTATCTCCAATTAACTCTAAAAAACTGGAAGTGGCGCTGTGGCTCAAGTAGCAGAGCACTAACTTAGCATGCACAAGGAACCATTCAAACACCAGTACCACCTCCTTGCTATGAAAGAAAATCAGCACTACCTAATGACTGGTAAAATATAAAATTAGATCAGGTCATTTCTGATGTGAGGCAAGATTAAGTATCATCTGATGTACCCTGAACCTAAATAGCAGAATCTTATATTCAAATGACTTCCTCCATCTTGTGGTAACAATGGGACATTAACAGCATGGGTGAATCTAGGCCGGAAGAGATTCTGTGAGAAAGGACTGAGATTTTTCAACCTGTGGCAAAGAACAGAGAGGAACTGAGGTATTTCTGAAAGTAACGTTCATTTCGCTTGGCTCCCAATGCAAACAAGCCAGCAAAGACACTGCAGATAAAATGGGCAAAAGCGCGTCATTTATTATAAAGTGACATCAGATGATAACTAAGAAATCATTCTTTTCATTGGAAAGAATAATGCTAGTTGTCATAGGCCTTGAGTCCTTCAAAGTTTAGTGAGAGGTCTACTTAACTGTTAAAGTAAATAATGGCACTGAGAAGGAGGGTAAGTTAATAGCTATCTTCACAGTTAAAAAAAGAAAAAAAAGAACCACGGAAGTTTCATTTGTGTTTTCCACAGCAGACTTGTGGTGAAGATGCAGGTCTGCCTTTCATGGGAAATGGATTCTATTCCACTCACTCCACCTACTAGTCAACCCAGAGAGGATTATTCCATTGTTTTTGGAGTGCCATTTGGGCTGGCATCAGCGATGGTAGCTAAGTAAATGAGGTTTCTATGTAATACATGCTGGTACCTATGGGAGAAGAAAAAGAAAAAGAGGTGAAAATTAAAGGCTTGGTTTTCTGGTCCCCAACTAAAAGCTGGGAATTCACCTACTTTAATGGAATGGCCCCTTTTTTTTTTTTTTTTTTGTGGGTTGTGGAGCTTAAACTCTGGGCCTGGGCGCTGTCCCCTCAGCTCTTCAGCTCAAGGCTAGTGCTCTACCACTTGAGCTACAGCACCACTTCAGGTTTTCTGATGGTTTATTGAAGATAGAGTTTCATGGACTTTCCTGCCTGGGCTGGCTTTTAACCAAGATCCTCAGCTCTCAGCCTCCTGAGTAGCTAGGATTACAGGGTGAGCCACCGGTGCCTGGCAGATGGCCCATCTTTTGATGATATGATTCAGTGTTGGCAACTTCACGCTTTAACTTTTTTTTTTTTTTGGTCAGTTGTGGGGCCTGAATTTGGTCTAGGCACTGTCCCTCAGCTCTTCAGCTAAAGGCTAGCACTCTACCGCTTGAGCCATAGCACCACTTCTAGCTTTTTTCTGCTTATATGGGGCTGAGGAATTGAACCCAGGGCCTCATGCATGCAAGATAAGCACTCTACCACTGAGCCACCTTCCCAGTCCCTGCTTTAACATATTCCAGGAGAATTTCCACAGAATCTCACTCATACCCACTCATCACTTCCACAAGCCACTATCATTTCTTGCTTAAGACTACAAGCATGGCTGGGAATGTGGCTTAGTGGTAGAGTGCTTGCCTAGCATGCATGAAGCCCGGGGTTCATTCCTTAGTACCATATCAATAGAAAAGGCCAAGAAAGCTAGCCTTGAGCACAAAGAGGCTCAGGAACAGCGCCCAGGCCCTGAGGTCAAGCCCCTGGATTAGCAAATAACAACAACAACAACAACAATAATAGCCTTCAAAGACCCAAATCTCAAAATAAAGCTAAACCACTCTTGTGTCGCGTAAGTTTCTCCATGATGGCAGCCTCTGGGTATCTCTCAGATGTCATCTATGGTTTACCTTTGGCTGAATTCTGGCCAGTGTCCTCCTGGCTATGAGGTAGAGAGACCCAGCACTCCTACCAGGCCCCACCTACCCATCTGTAGTGCTCAGGAACAACTCACATGCTAGGCAACTGCTCTATCATTGAACTATAGTCTCACTAAGCACTTATACACTTAATCATATACAGCTTCCCTCTAACATCTAGTGAGCCATTAATGCAGGTATCTGTGTAAGTGTGTGTGTGTGTGTGTGTGTGTGTGATGATACTGGGGCTTGAACTCAGGGCCAGAGCATTGTCCCTTAGCGTCTCTGCATTAGGCTGTGTTCTACCATTTGAGGCACATTTCCATTTCTAGCTGTTTTGGAGATAACAGTCTCACTGACTTTCCTGCGGGGACAGGCTTTGAACTTCAATTCTTAGATCTCACCTCCTGAGGAGGTAGGGTGACAGGCATGAGCCATCAGTACCCAGCCTTAACCTGGAAGTCTTTTGTTGATCTCCCTGTGTATCCCTCAGAGGATGACTGAGAGGAATGGGGAGGAGGGTTGGCCAGGGGGTTAGCAACCGTATGGGCTGACTCTCTTACTTAAGAGGGCAGGGGGAAGGAAGGCGAGACCCAGAATACCACACCGCTCCCATCTCCTGCGCATTACCATTTTGTCTGCTCCCTCCCAGCTGGGCGGGGCTGGAGGTGAAGGCATCTTTGCAGTGAGAATAATCACTCCGTGGTCTACAATGCTTTGGGCTCGGTGGTGTTGAGTCTATACGGAAACCTCTTCGAGGCTCCCTTTCCCTTGACTGTGCAGTGAGGTTCGACTCCATCCACCACCCGAGACTGCTGCTAGTTTGAGATTGGCCCCAGCCACCCACCATACCTACTTCTCTTTGCTCCGTTTCAGGGGAAGGAAATGGGGGGGAAGGGGAGGGCGGGAAGTGTGGATGTTGGAGGGGGAGGGGTCGGGAGAGTTACTTACTGGACACACTCGTTCGCCCGGCCCTTGTTCTGATACTCCACGATACAACGCACCAACTGGTCATTCTCCTCCAGGAGCTGCGAAGATGGGCAGAGTGAGGGAGGTCAGGGTGGCGTCTCCCAGCATCACTTTTCTGGCCCTGGACTGGTTCACCCGGGCTGGCTTCGACCCGCGGAGCTCCAGATCGCTGGACACCAGCGCGCGCATGCGCGTGGAGGTGGGGGGGGGATTGCGCGCATGCGCGTGGAGGTGGGGGAAAACACTAGCGCCTCAGATCTCTATCCAAACCCGCTTCCAAGAAGCTTTGAGAACCCCCCCCCGGGGCCCACCGTCTGCCCGCCAGGATGCTCACCCGCTGGACCGTCTCTTGGTTCACCTTGGCCTTCCCTCGCAGCCAGTCCGGCGCGAAGATGACCGACATCGCCGAGAACTGCCCGGCAGAAGCCCGCCCAACCCGCGCTCGGTCCCCCACGCGACGGCGGCGCGCCTCCATGGACGTCACGACGGGGCGGGGGATACGATCTTGATGCTGATTGGGCTACGCTGCCTGTGGGCGGGGCGTTCTTTGAGGCTTGGAAGTGCAAAACAAAAGC